TATATATATATATATATATATATATATATATATATATATATTTCACAGTTCACATTTAAAACAAGTCTTTTTCGTTTCTTAATATATGAGTACTCATTTTATTTTATTATTAATTAAATTTTCACCGTATGTTTTGTATGTTTCAACGTTGCTAAATATTTTTATTTCCACATGTATTTTCTACCTTAGTTTTTCATTGTAATATCGTTTACATCGTAAAAAGTTTATCCCATTTTTTCGCTCTTTTACCACTTCCTTCTGTTTTCAAGATACATATATTTTATAATTGCTTTTTTCTCATAGAATAAGAAACACTATATTATAATCCATCTCATCTCCTCATTTTCTTCCCTTGGTTTTCGATTTCATGCATAGTAATCTTATTACGCTTTACAAGTTCTCGAAACTTAATTTTTATATTTTCATTTTGTACTTTTATTCGTTGTATCTATCTATTTATATTTTAATAATTTATATTTTATATTAAGAATTCTTTTCAATATTTAATTATGCTATTAATAATGTTTGTTAATATTCATTGCCATTTTTGAAATAATATTTTAAATTTTATATTAATGGTGCATTATTTGAAAGAAGAAAAAAGATACAAAAATCAAAATTCTCATCAATATTGGAGAATATTATATTATATTATTCCAAGAATAATTTCCACTTTCCTTCTTCGAGGGAAGATGAAATATTAACAGGTTTAAAAGTGTCACGAATCTCATTATTTAAGTGGCAACTATGTATAAAGTTAAGGACCGTGGAGAAAAGGAATTCGTCAACGACCTGGATAACTTAATTCAATGCCGTTCGAGTTAAGCTCTGGAGCTTAGAGAGCTTTCTTCTCTCTGTTGCCGCCTATATCGTAATAGTTACATTAGTGAAACACTGAGTGATATCATATTATATGTGTATATAATGTGTTAATAATGGTATACAAATATCACTATGTTTACTATAATAGTAAGTTCATTTTTCAAGAGGCTTTCTTTCTTTATCTAAACTTCAAATTTTTTTAAATATTTATTTTCAAAATTATAAATTACTGTCATTAATTTATAACTCTTCAAAGAACTCAATATAATTTAAAATTATTACATTTTCTAATCAACTAATTTTACTATTTCTTCGATTTTAATGTTATAAATCCTAAATTCTAATATCAAATCTTTAAAAAATTGTATTCGTAACAATATAATAAAAATCAGAGAAGAAATTATTATTTTTAGAAGAAATTTGCATTTTTTGATCGAAGAATCTTAATTAAGTTTCAAAGATTGTGAACTTTTGGTATTGATATATATTTTAAAAGAATATAGATATATGATTATTGTGACATTTACCAATCATTAATTTCATCCGAAAAAATTCTTCAATTTTACTATTTTTACTAGGATTTTTATTAGAATTTTTACTAAAATTAGATCTAATATAACTTAATTTAAATTAAGTCATAAAAAAAATTATATTCATAATAGTGTTATTTTTTAAAAAGAAATTAAAAGAAATAATTCCTCAGTTTTGAGGAAAATTTACGTTTTCTCATCTCAATTCTCAAAGATAAATTTTGTTCAATTCCTCATAACCTAAAAATAACCTTTAGAATCTAAGTCTAACCTTAAAATCAAGATTTCACACTCACCATACTATGTACGTACCTCTTGAACCAGTACGTTTCCCTGTTCTCACATACACTATTCTTTCCTGACCATCTCCATTTTCCCGCATTTTCCTTTTCCCTCTTGTCGAGCTCGTTCCTCCCGAGTTATATCCCGTAAACCGTGGTAGTTTGTTGGTCACGGTGTGCAATCTCACGGAGGACCAGACGAAGCGTAACACCTCCCTTCTCTGCTCACCCTTTGTCCAGAAACCTCCGAATTCGGTGCATTCACCAGAGTGTGCGTTTATACGCATGTGAAGGGAAGACCATTTAACACAGGAACAGATGTATATTTTGCTGTACCGCCACTGGTGGCACTACTTTCGCGCGAGAAATGGAGGATATCGCTGTACATAGAAATACTGTCCGTTTGTCAGAAGAAAAGAATAAAAGACAAAGTATGCATTCTCACTCTATTCCATCTCTTCTGCCATTACGCATTGTCATTATTAGCCGATGATAAAATTGATGAGAAATAGAAATATAACAGAATTTCTTTGATTAAGAGGTTATGTTGCAAAGTCATCATTCTATTTCATTCTATTTTGTCTTGATTTATTTTTTCATCATTAATCTTTGTTAATGTCCTTAGTGAATAATGACGATGATAAAAAAGATGGAATAATGAATATTGTATCTAACTATCTTCTGTGTGTTTCATTAATATGTGCTTGAATTATTATCTGAATAGCATATATCTATAAACTTTCTATCTTATATATGTATACTATTACTTCTCGTCTACTATTGTTCTTGATCTACTATTTGTCTATTCTATTTCTCAATTAATTTGTATATACTTGACTATCTAAATAGCACGTATCTGAATTATTCTCTTGTCTGAATTATTATTTATCTATATCATTCTTCTTATTTGTATTGTACATTCAGAAAATGACAAGTATGCATTTTCATTCTGTTCCAGTTTTCCTACTATCATTATTGTTAAAATTGACGATCGAGAAAAAATATGATTTCACAACATTGGCGTAACCTTCTAATTAAAATATCGGTTATAAACAAATAAAATTCCTTTGATTGAAAGATATTATCATTCTGTTTCACTTTGTTTCGATATATCTATCGTCAGAAATGGATAAAATTTAAAATTAAATTTAAAATTGAAATTAAGAATAAAGTTATTTCAATTTTACTATTCAAAACATTCGATAGCCTTAAAATTGAACAAACGAGATTATATAAACATTTTAAATAAATTTATTATTTAAATTAATTTTATTATAAAATTTTAACTAATTAATTTTTCAACTCTTAATGATTAATTCATTGTCGATTTTTGTCATTGTCCTCATTAACGACAATACATGTGATGGCAAGAGAAATGAAATAGAGTGAGAGCGTAAATCTGCTCTAGCCATCTTTTGGCATACGTACGTTACACTGAGCAGCTAGACAATGTAAGAGGTGGAGCTCGAGTATGTGTACACAGAGGGAAGTTGTATAAGGAAAAGATTACGGACTATGCATGTAGATAAGCGGCCTGATAAGTGTTCGTTCATGAGAAGAATAGATTGAAGACGAGGTCGTTTTCTTTACTCATTGTCGGAACTGGAATCTTCGTGAGGAAGTTGTTTCAGGAACTGCAAATAGATTAATAGAGAAAGAATTAATAATCGATAATTAATTGTTAAAATATAATTGTTCATGCTGACGAAATGAAAAGATATGCAAGATAAAAGAAATTTGACATCTTTTATTTACATATTTATATATTTATTAATTATATATTTGCAAAAATGATAAAGATAATAGGTAAGCAAAAGAATTCTGTCGTATTATTTTTATAATAGAAAAATAATATTTGATCATTTTTGAGATTTTTGAAATGAATATATATATATATATATTTTTTAGAATACTCTTATCTGTATCACTTTATTGTCAGATCCTTTTGGAACAATATCACTATTTTTTTAAACAAGTGCTATACTTAAAAATTTCTAAATTTTTAAATAATATATCAACAAATACTTAATATGTAATGTTGAATGATGATAATTCGATCTTTCATTCATTAAAAAACATATCATTTATAAAAATTCACTCTTATCCAATTTTTCTCGTAATCTATTATTTGTTAATTTAAATTTAAAGTTGTTCAAGATAAAATTGAAAATTTCTCTCGCTTCAATTCAAATCTAATTCTCCAATATGACTGTCTACTCTTGTTCCAGAACTCTTGTTCATTCCTATCGCTACAGAGATCGGTTACTATCCGAAATACACTAGGATGTATATCTATACTATGGAGAACGAAACCACTTCCGGTTGGCTATCGTTTACGAACTCGCCTCGCTGAATTTCTTCACATCCGAGGGATACTGCCCTCGATAACAGTTAGACCAAACATGACATTATACGCGAAACTTTCTGCATACGTTACAAGATCACTATTGAAAATCCTCAAATTTAGCCACCGATCGAGAGACAAAATAATATTCGTACATTTTTGCGAACAAGTTTCGTTTTCTCACAATTCAAAAGAAGTTTTTAGGTTAGGTTTTTAGTGGGACAAACACAAGTGTATTTTCATCGAATTATCGTAGAATTGTAAGTGGACTTCTCACGAGATGTCAATATTTGGGAATAGCATTATGTATAATTATGTCGAATCGAGTTTGATGAATACGTGATGCGTTGCATGTTGACGACAGAACAGAGTAATGCACTCTCAAAACGAACGTTGCCCTGTATATACGTCGATATCGATGAATCGCAAGTGAATTGTCCTTTCTTAAATATCCTGATAAATTTCATTTTTTTGTAAAATGTTTATCTTCGTCCTGATTTCTATATAAGGTTCTATTTTAGTATTCTATAAAATGTTAATAATGGATTCATGGAATATTTTTGGAAAATCGATCGCAGATATTGAAATAAGCACGATAAGATTATTGTGCAAGTGATGTAAATTATTGATAAGATAGTTTGTTTTTCAGGCTATAAGTGGTACTAGAATGCACCTGTGTGAAGGCAACTCATACAGAGATCATCATAACTCTGAACTACAGATTAACTACTAATTTAATTTAATCTAAATTTTATTGACGAGTATTGATAAATTGATTGATCAATTTTTATTTAATTATTACGAGTATAATTAAATCAAATTTCGTACATAAATAAAAATATTAGTATTAATACTTGTGATTTTACATCACAATGCAATTATATATAGGCAACACGTATAGATAGATTATAACTTTGTTCTATGGACAATCTAACTTAACCTAATTTAACCTAAACTTTAACCTTAACTTTATTGATGAATATCAATGAATATTAAAATTTTTGTTCGATTACTATAGCTATAAATAAATCATACAATAATTTTAAGATAAATCTATGAAGAATCTATCAACATCGATATTATTTTGTACCATAATGCACCTTTATGCAAATTATCATAACATCTGCGCTATAGATAATCTAATTTTAATCTAAATTTTATTGATAAATTCATTTGCAATTTTTTTCTGAATTATAACAGGTATAATAAATCAAATTTCATAGTTAAATTTGTGAAAAGATTCATTAACTTTAAAATTAATTTAAAAGTACAATACCGTCTATATATTCATTATTATTTGAATAGATGAAAATAGAAAGCTGAAAATAATTTAATTTTTTTGAATAAATACTGAAGAAAATTGGGTCATACTCGCCAAAAACAGTGCAATGTTTTTATATTAAGATATTTGAAATGATGTCGAAGAATTATATAAAATGAAGAAAAACGATTCCTTAAATGTATTCTATTCATATGATTATACTTTAAAAAATTTCGAATAAGAATTTAGTGCAAATTATTTTCATTTTTCGATTTTTTTATTGAAATTTTGTGATATATTATTTTAAATAAATAGAAATTATATCTAAATACTTAGTGAATGACGAAGACTTTAAATTTCACTGGTTTAACTGATTCAAATAAGATAAAAAGTTTATATTGGTATGTGTTTCACCTCTTTGAGAGGAATTCCTTTAATTGCAAGCTGCGGAGCTTAAGTTGGATTGATCTAATTCCTCGGAATATATTACCTCTCTGTTGCAATAGTTTTGAAGCTTTTCAAAGTCATAGAATATTTCCGATTACAAAAAAAATTGCAAAATACTAATAACATCATTAATATTATAATATGTAGTAATGAAGAAAACTAATAACTTGTCCTAAAAATTATAGAAAATCGTAAGATTTTTTAGAATACTTATAGTTAATGTTAATGTCCAAAAAAATATCATATATATCATATGATATTCTATCAAATAAATGTTTCACATTTAATTTAATGAAATTATTCAGAATATTATTTTCCTATTTCTTATTTCCTAGTTATTAATTAATAGTTTTTCAATGTATTCATTGCATGCGGACTTAATTTTAATTTTCTCCAAAATGAAACTTGATATTGTTTCTTATAAAAAATTTCAAATTGTTAATTTCCGGTGTACAATGAAAGAAAGTATCTTAAAATTCATAGTTCTAATAAATTTCGATTCTTGTTCAAATAAAGTTTAAACTGTATAATGAACAAGAATATGTAGGAAGTTAAGAAGGAAATCCCGTATGTGTTGGAAAATGCACGAAGGTCTCACCTGTTGACATCCTATTCGTGTCTATGAGCGTGTCAGAAATATGTAACAGTTTTACCATTTACCATGATCCAAGAATGGTTTGTCGTCTTTTGTAATTTTCTAAAAATGTAATGATTTTTCTAATTTTTTTATAAAATTCATTAAACGTTCTCTTAATATTGCGGCATCTATTAACATTTCATTTATTATTCTAAATATCTACTCAAAATTAAATTACTACTTACTCATCAGCAAAATATTCAATACGAAATCCTGAATCTTAAAATACTCGCAAATTTCCAATTTAATTATGAATGTTTTGTTTTAAGATAAATGAAGCATTATTGTAACTGAATAATAATTAAATTATGAAATTTGATTCGCAGAGAATTGCACTTTCATTGAATTTTTATGACAAATTTATTAATTATATTGTAATTATATTGTATACATTATGGAATTTATTAATAATTTCTTATCAAAGGATTTCTGAAATTAATAATATGAAGAATTAATTCTGAATTATGTAATAAACAATTGTTGCATAATTATATTTTCGATTATATATTATTAATAAATGTTTATAAATTATTTTAAATATTTACCATTTATTTTAATATTTATTTTTCAGCTATTTATATCTTTTTCTTATTTAAATTTCTTTTTCAAATTTCAAGATTAAAATAGTAAAGATTGCAAATTGATTTTCTTTTCCTATTCTCCTGTAGTAGCAGTTGAGCTAAATTTATTTTTATTTATAGCTGTAACTTTGTCATTGAGATACGACCAAAATGAAATAATGGCTTCCTAACCTATATTTGTTTCTATAATACCATTGTAAATATATATATTTGAAACTTTGATCGATAAGAAAAGTCTAATGTTTTAAATCGAAGATATTATATACTTATGTATATAATTTTATCGATATATTTTTGTTTAACATTATCATACAAGAACATTTTGATACATTTGAATTTATAATTAATCACTGCATCACATATACATTAAAACGTTTATAGGACATCTGACAATCATCGACAATTGATCGACTGGCAAATATAAATGATATTTTCGTTTATAAAATATCCCTTTTTAAAATATTATGCAGAATATAATCAATTTTCTTATGATATTATTCTGAAAACATTTTTTCGATAAAATAGAAATTCTTATAACACAATTTTTATATAATATGATTTAATAAATAATTAAATAATCTTTATACAAAATTAGGATACATTATATATATTGTTTCCATCACACTTTTCGTTGACATTTCCAATATTTCTTTGATATGTATTAATTTTAAGTTTCATTTAATAGAGAACGAATTAAATTTTTCATTCATCAAAGATGAGATATCTGTGGATATAAATAATTTATTAATGTACATTTTATGTTAGTACAGCATTATATATATATTGTAATCACATTGAAAGGAACAGTTTCTAAGTTGCGAATGGCAGACAAAAGCATGTTCGGTGAAAAACAGACAAAAAAAGCAACAGTCGGTCGAAAAACGGAATATAGAAACGATCTGACGGTCATCGTGACTTCCGCGGTGGTACGAAGCGAGGAGTTGAGTGGCTTTATCAGGCCTCGTTACTGCGCTAAATCCATGGCCACGAGTGGAGGAACACACTTGTGACGGACGTAAAACCCGAATGAACTTCCTCGCTTACGGGGATTGCCGTTTTGCCCTGCGGAAAGAGGGGCAAGTGGGTTGCCTGCTCAAAGTATTCTATATCTAGTACAATATACATATACACGTCTGTGTATGCATATGCATATTAGTCACGAATGGTTCAAAATTTATTGGTAATTATTATTCTCTTATAATCAAGAAATATTGTTTCAATCTATAAGTTCAATCTTTTCAATTGAATTAATGATAAAAAATAATAAAAAATACACGTTAATAAAATTAATTGTCATATGATATGGAAAGTAATAATTATCCGAAAAGATAGATGTATTGAAAAAAATATTGATTAAATTTATTTTATTAAAAATGTTAGTTAATTAGGTGTTTCTTTGTCGATTTTATTCATTTGTAGGAAACTAGAAAAAAAAATTTATAGTAATTAACTGGATTTTACTGTTTGTCTTTATATTTAATAATTTTTGCATACATATTTAATATTTTGTATATGTATATAAATTTTATGTACTTTTTGTGTGAAAGTTACAAATTAGTATTTCAAAAGATTAAAACTTAGAAAAGTTAAATATTTAACATAATAAATTAAAAATGAATTTTTTTAATAATTTAATTTTTTAATTGATAATTATCAATTAAATATCTAATCGATTCAGTATGTCTATTTTATCAAACGAACAGGATTATATTATTACGATTCCTTAAATCCACTCGAAAACTGGATATTTCAGATTAATACAAGTTTGTAGTTGTCCGATTGCAGTTTATAATCTTCTTGAAATTATTATTTTCATAATAACAACACAAATGCAATTAATACAAATATAATAAATTGAATATTAATTTCAATAGATATATTCAATAAATAGATTCAATAGATACACAGAAAAATTTGTATTTTCGATATTGCAAAAAATGTTTCTATATTTGCAATACATATTCATACGAAATTCGCTTATAACAATTTATCGAATAAACATTTAGTAGAAAGAAATGTGATTATTACATACCAACTAATGATTAAATAATCATTAACGAAAACCACGTACAACCTCAGGAAGTAATGAATTTTGCAACGTTTGTTATCATGCATGATTGAACACACAGAATTCTACAAATATCTAAATTCGTAATTTAGAAATGGTAATAGAAATTAATTTCGTTTCTTTTATAAAATAATATTAAGAAATTTTGAAATTGTATCATTTTAATCAGTTTTTAATTTCATTTTTCGAATATAGAATTTTAAAAAAAAAAAGAAAGATATATACATATATTAAAATTATATTTATCATTTATAATCTATTCTTCTCAACCAGATTTAATTTCTCTAAAATATATAATAACTCTGTAATATTTAATGAATTAGTTTTTTAGTTTATATCACGCGATATTCATTTCTAACCTATATTATATCATAAAGAAGTTTATATAAATGACGCTAGGCAGTATTTTAGATAATAACTTACCTAGAGTTTGAATAACCAATCACTATATTCATTAACAACATTTCGTTCACAAATGTTCCATTATATCAAATATAAATTTAGAAACAATATTGCAAACATAATAATTACTTAATGTTTAACAAATGAATTTTTTTATTTATTTTGTATCATAAATACAATGAAAATTTCTAACCTTTACTACAAAGATGTCTATATAGATGGAGTCACGCTCGGTACCAGTTTAGATAATAGTAAACTCAGCTAAAGTTCATATAATCAAGTACTATATAAAATTTTCTATAAATGAAATTCATATGAACAAAGTTTCATTATATTAAATATTATAAATAATATTTTAAAAACAAAGAATTTAATGATCTAATATTTAACGAATTAATTTTTTACTTATTTTATTATAGATAATGTTTGTAATTATATTATTTGTTCTTATAGATGGAATAACATTCGACATTTGATATTTCAAATAATAGAAAACTCAGTTAGAGTTCAGATTTTCACTCTATTCAGTATTACCAAATCATTATTCTTTAATTTTACATATCCCAATACACAAAATTAACTGTTATCTTTAAACCAATTTTCATGTTAATCTCTCATCAATTCGTGATTTGTTGACATACATGATTAATTGACACACGAAAACAAAACATTTACTTTCGATGCAGCCACTAATGGTACCTTTTAGTAAAACAAAGCTTTGTACCATTCTCTTTGTCATACATTAAAAAATGGAACTAGTCAATGTGTATTTTCTCTTTTGTCGATATCAATCACGAAATCGAAAAAAATAATTATATAAGACAAATTATTCTTTTCATTTGCAATTAATCGAAAGTGGAGTTGGTCGAATTTTTGTGCATAGTGATTTTCCTCGATATCGAGAATTAAATTACCTGGTAATTTATAAGTTTTCTAACTACGGTAATTATCGCTTGAATCAGTCTCGGTCGACGTTTATCGAAATCCCAAGTAACTCTTAATTAACCTGGATGCACGAGCGATGAATCGATGCCGAAAATTTAGTTTCTACGTAAATTCTATACACGTGAAATTAGCTATGCTTATCGGGACTGATATAAATTTCCGTTACGAACAATATTTATGTTACACGGTGTACATAATCGATGTGTATGATAAAGAACGACAGAATTCCTATAAACATTCCCAATGAGCCGATACCTCGTTACCGAGCTAATGACCCTTGATAATCTAAACTTTAATGGGGTTCTCATTGGATTCTTGTTATGCTTTAATCGTTCGATTTTAATTTTATTTCACATATTCTTGTTGAAATTTTCAATGAACGATTCGTTTTGATCGAAATCTTTTTGATGGAATAATTGGTTATGTTGAACATTGGTTAAATATAGTACAAAAAATAAATAACGAACTTGAAAACTATATAGGTTATGTTAATCGAATTTAATAAAAGTATTGAAATGTTTGTTGTATTTTTCTTTTAAGGAAGAATTGCCATGTGCAAAGCTAAATTTGAATGATTAACTGTGTGAACATTAGGGAGGACCATATACAAAGAGAAATGAAATGAAAGGTATCAATAGAAACGCAAATCAATATTCGGATTTACAAATAGAAAAAAAAAATTAATGTTTCAGATATTTTTCAATTATTTTGCATTGTTATTGCATGCAAAACAATGTATTAGATAAATTACTTAATGCTGTAACAGCATATAGTCTTTCGGTTTGAATATGACTTTGAATAAAAAAATTAAAGATCCAAGTAAGTATTTAATCATTAATCGAGCATATGATTAATTATTCAAATTTTCTATGGTGTGAAATTGATATTTAAATTTATCTGCAAATTTAGTATCTCAATCAGCTTCGATGGTTAACAATATTCACTTAATCTAATAGATATTTGTATATGAACATATATAGATATAATATTAATTTAATTTCGGTTAGAAATTAATAATTGATGATTGACATTTAATGTTATTAAATGACAATTGATGATCGATATTTTTAATTAATTATCCATTGAGTTTCATAAATTGATTGAATTAATTGCAATTTTTTACAATTAATCAATCGAAATTAATTTATTTAATTTAAGTTAATCTAATAACATAATTTTAAATAAAATTTTGATTTTGTCTGCATGGTTCATTAAAATAAAATATTAAAAAAAAAAAATGAAAATTTTCAAAAATAGAAGATGTTCAAATTTCAAACAATTTGAAAGTTTAATATTTAGTATTAAAATATTCTTTGTTATATGTCATTCTTTATTATAATGTCTTTGTTCTTTAATTCTTTTCTGCAAAATTTTTTCCTTTATATAAAGTGAGACCTCCTTGACATTTTAAAATGATTTTTAAATTGTTTGTTGTATAAACAAATGTCCTTAAACAAAAATTGAATAAAAAAGAATTAAAAACGTAAAGAAATATAATTTAATGTTATTAATTCTTCTGTCGATGGACAGAATATATAAATAGTAGAGAAAATATATCAATTTGCTTTTAATGGAATTATAATAGATATTTTAATTTCAAAGATGCAAAATGACTGAAATGAATGATGATATTGGCATATTTTTATTTTAAATAAAATATTTTGTATCTATACAAAAGAATTATTCAATTAGAAATAGAATTTTATGTAATTCAATAAAACAATATAAAGAAAATAATTATTTATTAAAATAAAGATTGACTTAATTATCAAGTTCAATTCATCAATATGTTCATTCTTTTTTTAAAGTTATTTTAAAAATCTCTAATTGTATAAAATGGAAATTTACTCCATAATATTCTTTGTTATTCACCCCATCATTTTGATCAATTTTTATATCTCTTCTACACATCCAATTACGAAAAACTAATTACAACACATTATCTCCTTCTACCATTCATTAAAAATTATCTGAAGTTATCAAATTAGAGGAGCCAACCTATATTACCCTTGTTCAACTTTATACACAATTTATTTTGTAATTTAATTGCATGCTTCTAATTAACTTCACCTATATAGTGTTAGGTAAAAATCATCGAAAAATTTTACAAATTTCAATATCGTATTTCAAAAATTTAATTTATAATCTGACTAGTAATATTGCCTATTTTGTTTCCTCCAACAGATTTCTTAATATAATGAGTAAAATTCAAGATTTTGAACTAATTTGAACTATTGAGAATTCTCAGAATTTTTTCTACTAATGAAAAATGATTACAGAAAGATCACTCACCATAAATAGATTCGACAGATTGAAAGGTCTCTGTCATCATCCTCGTTCTGATCTCTGCTCGTAAATCCTCTGGAACATGACTTCCCCATGGACCTGATGCGCTGTCTTACCAGTAGATAATGCAGGTTGTACGTGCCACAACTGACAGTGAAGACGTGAGTTATCAGAACCATCAATGACGATTAGTACCGTGAGAACAAGCAATAGCTGAACGGTTGGACTTGTGGGAGTAGTAATTAATTGTTAAAATCTTTTATAAGATGATACAAGCGAATTATTATAAGATTATTTTTTAAAATAATGAATTAGTTTAAATGTTGATAATTTTTGATGAAAATTTCATTGTTCTTTTATTTTTCATAGAGAAATATAAAATTTACTTTGATTAAATTAAGTGTTGATATTAATTATTAGATTTAAGACACAAATAAAATGTAATTTATATATTAAAATATAAAAAATATGAATTATTGTGTCTGTTTATTAATTTGCACGCTTGAAGTTTAAAACAGAAAAGCAAAACTTGGCATAAAGTAGTAGATGGTATTCTAACAGATAGAACTTCAAAGATGAAATAGTAAAAGGAAAAATATGAAGTTTACGTGTTGTTTAACCGAGTAGATTACATAGTTCAATTTGCATATATTCTGAAATTAAATAGGCGTTGTGACTTTTTACTGAATAATAAAACTGATATTTAAATAACATTATTAAATAAAATCATTATACGTATATTTATAAGCACTGATATCATCAGATAGTAACGAAAAAAATAAAACAGCTTTTATGAAGTATATATTAAAAGTAGAAGATAAATTTAATATAATAAAATAGTATCAAAAAAAATATGTATTTAAAAATTCTTATATAAATTCATTGTAAATCTAACTTTCTTTGAAGTTTTAATAAATGCCTTTTGCAACGGCATCTTTCAATATCTATTTAAATATATTCTACAGCTTATAATACTGAAATCTTAATCATAAAGTTTTCAATCAAATGTTAAGTATAGGCATCAATTGATTTACAAGAAGTTAGATTATCTAAATGTTTGCTTTTTAAATGAAAAGAATCAGAACAAATTTGAAATACGAATAACTTCGCTGTTGACAAGCCGAAGTTCAACCGTCGACAGACGGCTACGAATAGAATACGAATACGCTCTCGCATCGCTATTTATACTTTACGTGAAGAGAAGGGAGTTGATACTGCGCATGTGCACTTTACGAAATCAAAACTACGCGGGTAAACTTAATGATTTCAAATTTAATATTGTATAACCTTTTGTTTCTTTAATTATTATAATTAATATATAATTTTTTTTTATAAAAATAGTTTAACAATTGTGAAGAGGTATCTTAATATTAACATAAGAGTATAACGTAAAATAATTTTGTATCAACATGTTGAAAAAGTTAAAAAAAAAAAATAACCAAAATTGAAATAAAATTACCATACAAAAAAGAAAGCTTGAAGAAATAAAATTAAATGCAAGAAAGAAGCAAGAAAAAAAGAAAAGAAACGAGAGCATGGAAATATATAAGAAAAAGTAACGAATAAGAAAGGACAACTGGAAAGTATAAGATAAGATCACAGTATTAATGGTAACCTTAAAAGATAAAATGGAAACAGAACGAGGACGGAGATTCAACAAAGAAATAGAGAAACGACGAAAAAGTAAACGTTGGTGGACGGGTTGGATAGACTGAAACAACTGAAGATGATGAATTAAGCTTGGTCTTTTTCTGAACTCAATTCTCGATGTTGATGAATCGAATTGGATGATAGAACTTTGATGATAGACGTAATAAAACCTATTCTTCATCCTTTAAAAACATCTTTGATTTTTTAATAAAAATAAAAATTACTATTTAATAGTTTTTAAAAAATTATCAATATTAATTTGATTTATGTCTATTTATAAAAGTATTATTCTTAATAATAAGTGATCTATAAGGCCTATTACGAGTTTAACATCAATATTTCTTATATCTGCTAATTCTACAGATCCATTCGAGCACTTAAGATAGTTCAACAAAAGCTTAGCTGTTGCAGACTAACAGGATAAGAATTTCTCCTTCTTTTGCGTGTAAACGATCTTTCTAAAGTTTTAAAACTGTTACACCAAAACTTTTTTCCTTAATATCTTTTTTTTTTTTTTAAATTTAGAAATTCTATGTGTAATTCAGAAATGCTAAAATCTGTGAGACTTTTAGGAAATTTTTACTTTCTTTTTAAAATGTTTTTTAGCTTACAAAACAATAATTTTGAATCTTTATAAGAAAATATAGTTTTTCATTTGTACTTATCAGGTAATTTTTTAAAATTTTACTTATCTTTTTAAATGGTAGAGAGAGAGAGAAAGAGAGAGAGAGAGAGAGAGAGAGAGAGAGAGAGAGAGAGAGAGAA